GAAGTAGACACTCTCTGAGGATGGAGGCCATCGAAGTGGTCCCTCCTCGCGCAGCAGAGTCTGGGTCCTACAGCCGGTACTTTACCGTTATTATGTGTTTTCAAAATATACAAAAAAGGCCAAAATTGCTAATACTGATTTTAAATAAATAAATTGTATTTACTAATATTTCCTAATTTTTTTAATATATTTTGTCTGTGGGAAAAAATTGCCCTATGAGTACTCTTTAAAGTTTATCTTCCTTCTGCAGATCTGCTACATAAGGATTTGTTTTTAATTCATGGGGTGACCCACTGTTATGTGATCATAATGATCTGAAATTGAGATAAATCTCTCCATTCTACAATCCAATTTGTTTTCCATTGACGAGTCAGAATGGATTTAGACTGCCATTACACTTTTAAATTTAAACTTTTTCTGTGAGATACGAATCCATGAGGCAAACTTATGGAGTCTGTTATTGACAGCATCATTGTGTGCTAAAAGTGGCCTGAGATTCTTTCATCTTGCTTTTGTTGAACACTCAGCCATTGCATGGGTATCTTACAGCTTAATCTGACTATCTGGACCCAGACTTGATTGTCTGAGCTGACAAATAATTTAACTCTGTCTGAGACAGCCGAGAAGAAAATTTCCTTGCATGTTTTAAAGCTTTACTTCATCTTATCTCCAGGCTTGTAATTAGAGTCTAAGAAAGCAACTTTTTATTCTGTCCATGCTTTAAAGAAAAGAAGCTTTGCTAGTCTTCCTAAAACATTTTATTTAAAAAAAGCTAAATTGGACTGTATAGTTTGTCTTTCTTTCTTCCTTTTTTTAATGAATCCTTCATAAAACTTAATCAAAACAGACAGTCATGTTTTGCTATGCTGAAATCAATAGTTGCAATACAGTACATAATGTACTTTTCATAGTACAGTTCACTTGTCTGAAGAGTCATCTTCAATTTTTCAAGAATAAGACCGTGCTCCTAAGATGTACATTTGGTGTGCAAAATAATTGACCAATGCAATAAATATTCTTAAAGGGATAGTTTACCCAAATAATAAAATAATATAAAAATTCTGTCATCATTTACTTGTCAGACTCTGTTCCATGTTTTGTGTGTGTCTTGCTCCCCATGTGCCTTCCTATGCCCTTATTTGGTTAGTTTCCTGTTCCTGTCCTGATTAAGTTAATTTGTCCCAGGTGTTTCCCTTGATGTTTCATTGCTCCCAGGTGTGTCTCGTCATCCCCTCATCCTGTATGTATTTAAAGTGTTCCCAGTCCCTAGCTCTCTGTCCGCTGTTAAACGTCTTCCTGAGTTCGTCTGCCTTGGTTCATGGAATTAAAGCCTTGTGAAAGTATTCTCCAGCGTCTCCTCGTTCCTCTATCGTGTATTGTGACAGAACAGCGGACCAAAAAAAGTAAGCGGCACCCCCTCTCCCCGTTTGATTTCCATTTTTGTTTTGTTTTTTCCCGTGCGTTCTTCCACATCCCCAAATGGAGGAACGATTAATGTTTCTCACGTTGGCTCAGGCGAGCCCAGACCCCATCGTCTTTGCCAGGGTGTTCGTGCCGCTCGCCCTCACCAGCTCGCTCGAGGGGGAAATCCTCGCAACGCTGTTCCGGATCGGGATAACATTCCATCATCCCACGGAGCTCCCAGACACCACCAACCTTGACTGGAAGGAGACAGTCATCCGGTGTCTGGAGAGTCTCCGATCCCGATCCGGAACCCCTCCGCCGGCCGTTCCCGAGTCAAGTCAGCAGGCAGTTAATGTGGCGAGCCCCTAGGACGTTTGTGTGGCGAGCCCCTAGGACGTTTGTGTGGCGAGCCCCACGGACGAATATGTGCCGGCTCCAGCCCCAGAGCTCGCTCCAGTGTCGGCTCCAGCCCCAGAGCTCACTCCAGCGTCGGCTCCAGACCCAAACCAGCTCCTCGAAGGCGCTTTGCTGTGCCTGCTCCTCCAGAGCGTCCTCCAGTGCCAGCACCACGGAAGCGCTACACTGTTCCCCAGTATAGCCCACGAAGGGCTCCTGTCCCCCGGTCAAGCCCAGGGAGGGCTCCTGTCCCCCGTTCAGCCCAGGGAGAGCTCCAGGCCCCGAATACAACCCCCTACATGGCGAGCCCCTAGGACGTTTGTGTGGCGAGCCCCACGGACGAATATGTGCCGGCTCCAGCCCCAGAGCTCGCTCCAGTGTCGGCTCCAGCCCCAGAGCTCACTCCAGCGTCGGCTCCAGCCCCAAACCAGCTCCTCGAAGGCGCTTTGCTGTGCCTGCTCCTCCAGAGCGCCCTCCAGTGCCAGCACCATGGAAGCGCTACCCTGTTCCCCAGTATAGCCCACGAAGGGCTCCTGTCCCCCGGTCAAGCCCAGGGAGGGCTCCTGTCCCCCGTTCAGCCCAGGGAGAGCTCCAGGCCCCGAATACAACCCCCTACATTTCTCCAAGTATTTTTTTGGGGGGGGTACTATTGCTCCAGCCGTAGAGGCCGAGGCGGGGGCTGGGGCCGCGGCCTCGGAGGCGGCTCCGCCATGGCATCCTAAACTACCTGCTCCACCATGGCCTCCCGAGTCCCCTGCTCCGCCATGGCCTCCCGAGGCTCCGGATCCGCCATGGCACCCGGAACGGGTACCGCTCTGGAGGCCCACTGTCCCGTGTCTGTCCTGAGGGACCTCCAGAGTGCCCCCCCCCCCCCCTCCCCATTGGATGGTATATGGCGTGAGGACACGTCTTCCGGAGGGGGGGCGTGATGTCAGACTCTGTTCCATGTTTTGTGTGTGTCTTGCTCCCCATGTGCCTTCCTATGCCCTTATTTGGTTAGTTTCCTGTTCCTGTCCTGATTAAGTTCATTTGTCCCAGGTGTTTCCCTTGATGTTTCATTGCTCCCAGGTGTGTCTCGTCATCCCCCTCCTCCTGTGTGTATTTAAAGTGTTCTCTGTCCGCTGTTAAACGTCTTCCTGAGTTCGTCTGCCTTGGTTCATGGCATTAAAGCCTTGTGAAAGTATTCTCCTCGTTCCTCTATCGTGTATTGTGACATTACTCACCCTCAAGTTGTTCCAAACCTGTATGTCTTTTTTTTTTTTTTGAGCACAAACAGTTGATGGTAGCCATTGACTTCCAAAGTATGGAAACAAATGATTTGGAACAACTTGAGGGTGAGTAAATGATGACAGAATTTAGATACTATCTCTTTAATAAATACCTCTAAAATGACTTCATAGTGTGTTTAATTAGAGTTGGAGCTAAACTCTGCAGGACACCAGCCCTCCAGGACCAAGTTTGGTGACCCCTGATCTAAAGTATTGGGATGGAATTGTTATGCTCCAGTGCATTAGGGAGGGACTGAAACCACATTAATGTTAGAAAATTAGAAGGGCAGGATTTACCCAAAACAAGTGAGTGAAATGTACATCTATCCCCAAAATAAACCTTGCAATCTGTTGAAATAAAAAGGTGTGACTGAATTGGACACTGTAGCTTTACAACCCAGCACTGCTGCATTATAGTACTGCCTTAAAGTGTTCGCTAAACATGGTCTTTAATATCTTTCTTTTTTTTTTATGAAATGATTCCTAACCACCATAAAGACGCAACACATAGAATATGATTACCATCATATTCATCATAATCATAAACATAATATAAGCTTAGTTGCAGTTTACTTTGAGCTGATTCTTTGAGCGAAACACTAAGGTGGGCCGCAACCTTCTTTTTATGCACTGCCAGGACAGCTAATATCATCAGAGCACTCATCACAAATGATAGGCATGACTGCTTACATTCATCTCAGCAGTTCTTCTCTTGAATATAGCCACTCAAAGTGTGTCATCGCTCACGATTAATGGGACCATAAAATTCTGCTGAGTCGGACCGTTCTACTGGTCATTGAAATGTGTTTTACCTGCAATACATCTCGATATCATCTATAATAGTCATTGTGGACAGTGTAGCCGCTGGTAGCTGTGTCAAAAACAAGTAGCACACCTCATATTTTGAGCATTGTCTAAGGGTATTTTAGATGCATGTTGGGCTGTAGAGGCAGACGAGTCAAAATACTGTGTAGACTGCAATTTCAGCTTCATAGAGTAATGTAGGTATTATCCTTAATGACAGCGATGTGTCCAAAGGTGTTCATGTCAAATGGTGTTTTGGACTCGCACTGCATCAGATTCATATGAGTATTGTAAATTTTAGATGTTTGTGTATTAATATGTGGACTTCTTGAGGTCCGTAAGAAGTCTCTTATGGTGCACCAAGGCTGCATTTATTTGATCAAAAATAGACCAATAATACTGTCAAATATTATTACAATTTAAAGTAATTGTTTCTAACTTAATATATTACAAAAAAGTAATTTATTCCTGTGATAGCAAAAACTGAATTTCCAGCATCATTACTCCAGTCTTCAGTGTCACATGTTCCTTCAAATGTCATTCTAATATTCTGATTTACTGCTCAATAAAAATGTATTATCATCACACTTTAATATTAATTTAATACTTTTGTGGAAACCATGATACAATTTTTCAGGATTCTTAGATAAAAAAAATATATATATATATATATCGATCAAAAGTTGTTCCACGCCTGTTTGACTTTCTTTATTCTATGAAACATAAAAAGAAATGCTGCACAATGACAGTCTCTGTCACCCAACACTTTCTTAACATTTAAATATTTTTTCTCCATACAATACAATTGAGAAGACACTGAGACTGCCACTATCCCAAACATTATCTTTTGTATTCCACTGAAGAACAAAAGTGAGACAGGTGTGGGTGAGCCTGAGCGTGAGAAAAAAAAGATTGAATTTTAATTTTTGAGTGACTTTAAGGTTCTTGAACTCTCCTAAATTCTTTATTATTATGTAATGTATATTGTAAGAAATTAACGTTCACTGTCTTTAATTAGAGTTCAGTCTTCAAAGATGAAAATGATTATTTCTAAACCACAGTCACTGTCTTCATGGTGTAACAGTCCCTGAGATGAATTGATTTAATGGTTTAGTTGAATGCACAAACCTTCAGAGTTCCTGGCTCAGCCAGTTCACGCGCCTGCCTGTTCAGTTGGTTTGCAATGATTTGACATCGCTGACACAGGCTTTCCCTCCCATGCTTGTTCTCAGAATAACTTAACTCCGTTACGAACACTGAACCGGCACCCTCCGGGTTTGGCCGGCTGCCACATTGCACTTCCTCTGCAGAATGAAGCCTTTTCCTAGGACTGAGTGCTGGACTCTGCACCGATTCACTGCTTCCTGATACTTCAACAACCTTAAGTGGGAAAAGAGCAGAAAACAATTCAAACTGAGAGATGAATGAAAAATGTCTGCTGGAATAAAATGTAGGCTGTTAGCAACACAAAACTTTACTTTAAGACTCTCGTAATATGGTCCACTCAAAATCAAAATTTCCCTGCTAAAAAGAATTTAAAAATAAAATAAAACAGCTTGACCCAATGCAAGAGTTTGCTGGTCTTAGCAGGTTTAAGATGATTTCCAAGCCTTGCTAAGCTGGTCTTCAGGTAGTCTAGTTATTCTCCTATACTACTGACCCACAAATGTAAGCTTTTTTCTTGTCTTCATGAATCAAATGCTAAGAATTTACATAGCAAAGTTAATAAAAGCATTTAAAAAATAATCTGCACACTTTTATCATACTATATCTCACCGTGAACCTCCTGAAATCTGGGCTGCGTCCTGCACCTTGAACCCAATAATGAGAGCGCATGTTTCTGTTTTAAATATCCCCGCGTGTCAGACAGTCTCATGTGCTCCGACTCACTGCATTATCCATTTGATTTCATGGATTTTAACGCATAACTTTATGTAAGCGTCTAACGTTGAGTTTTTCCAGTCTTGCGAGTTGTTGCGCTTCTCAGTCCCACGTTGACGATAAGTGAATTGAAATCAGCTCTCAAAGTTCTACTGATGTTGAATCGCTGAGGGGCGGAGCAGAGTCACTGCTCACACAGCGCGCTCCTGACTGATTCACATTGAAGGCGCATCGCTCGATCTCTTGTGAGTAGGGGTGAAATGTAACCTGTTTTCACTGACAACAGTGGTGTAGGCAGAATAGACGTATGCAGACGTATCGAGACGCACTTTTTCATTTACTGTCATAGATTCCATAGCTGAGTGAAATAGGCCTACTGTGGAAAAACTCTCAAATCCCATTCCTCATTTCCTGTCAGAAACGTTTAAAACTCATACATCTGTCACAGCCACAACGCCTTAATGTCTATTAATATACAGGGCTCACACATAAACTCTCTCACACACCTACGGGCAGTTTATAGTGTCCAAATCACATATGCTGCTTTGGATTGTGGTGGAAAACAGAGCACCCAGGGGAAAAGAGGAAAGCCACGCCAACACATTGCAACATGCAAAAAGGCTCAGACTTTTTATTTTATATTCTATGTAGAACACACTTGTTATTTTATTCACGTTACTTGCACTGTATGGCTATATATTTTATTATTTATCTCTTTTTTTCCAACAATTTATTTTTGCATAGTTATATAGTATTATAGGAACACTTAATGTAAAATAAGCATGATAACAAAGTACTGTGAAAGACACGGAAAGGGAGTATTTTCAGTGGCGCAGTCAAGCCATTTACTATTCCTGTAGCGCCACCACATGGCCGGAATCTGCAATCGCATTTGCATAAAACAAACCATTATGAAGTTTAGTATTTGTTGGTGGAGCTTGTATACAAAATATTTTACTGTTCAAAAATGCGTGATTTGATTTAGAAATGTTATAAGCGCCGTATTTTAGACTACATTGTGATTACATTTGCGTTTCGTTGTGGTCAAAACACTTTACAGCTGTTAGACGCGTGAGATCTAAACCATGACATGAAACACTGTGCAAACACTTAGTGGGATTTGCTGTGGTTACAGTAGACACCGACATTGATGGGTCTTTTCGAAGGAGCTGTTCGTGGTGCTTTTTCATTATAAATAAGCTAAGAATGGGCTTAAATGTGCTATATTTAACAGCTATGAAGTTAAAAAGCATGCAAACGGAAAATGAGCTATTACCTTCTGTTTCTCTTCAGATAATGATTGGTCAATCCAAATATTATTTCGGCATCCAAAATGAGAGTGTCAAGTTCCACAGGTGTTTCCCTCTGCTGTATATTCCTTGAATCTTGTGGTGAATCATGTAAAGTCATGTGAAACCTCTTGTTTGAGCTGTGTTGTCATCTGGTACAGCCAATTTCGAATTACCAAAACACGCCGCTTAATGAAACCGTGTGAAAAGGCATCAAAATAGGACTTGTGACTTTTTAAAAGACAACGTTGTCCTTGAGGAGCTCCTGAGTATGTTTAACCATCTATTTTCCTTTGCGCGTGGAGATGCGCGATCACACTGTTAGTCCAAACGAAAACCATGTGGATCGATTGTGTCTCCGCCTCTCTCTCACTCTCTCTCTCTCTCTCTCTCTCAAAAGATTTGCATGAATTATTGTCAGATCTCACAACACATATCAACTTCACCTGTTAGGCTATTATTTTATTTTATTCGTAATGCAGTGTAGTAGCCTATATGCAGCCATTTCGTTCCGTTTTAGCGCATTGCAATGGTCTCATATATCATATCTTACATTAGTGTAAAATAAATATTTAATTGGCAGGTTAACACGCTGTGTAATTATTTACTATTTGCGTAATTAATGTCTGGCCTTTGCAGGCCTTTATCTCATTAATGCCTCCCTGCAACTAGCTAAAAAGTCACGCGAGTCTAATGGGGGTGAAATTTATATTGTATGGGATTACTGGTGTCCGATCATTTCATCCACCCTGGAGTCACACAGACATGCCCTGCATCCTAAACACAGCGTCCCAGGGGAACACCTCAGCTGTTTTCATGCCAGCGTAATCTAGCCATTATACCATTAATGGAAACATCTCCACCTCTGATGAATATCAGCTCGAAACTCTTCAAGTTGTTCTGAACGTCTCAATCAAAAACAAGTTCAAAAGTAAGTTTTTTATTTTATTTAACCACCCAATATTTTCCTCCAAAATGTAGCTATGAAGGCTAAATAATAACCTATAAAAAGTTATTCTAAAAATATAGCTAAAGCGTAAAACAATCCAAACTACACATATATATATATCACACAATACAAAATAAGGTTTGCTGAAAAATATTAAACTTGTCTTAAATCCATGGATTAATTGATGGTTGGTAAAAAGAAGCTACAATGCGTTACCAAAGACACACACTCAAATTACTGTTTTGTAACAAAATAAGAAAGAATAGTTATAGGTTTCATTTTGAATTAGGTTTATTATGTTCAAACAAAATACGAAAATCAAATACATCAACTGTAAAGCCATACAATCAGACATTTAACACACAGCAATGACAGAGAGAGCGCAAATAAGCCAACAACGCAGTCATCATTCACTGAATTCAACAAACCTGATTTTAACAAAGTAACAAGCCCGACTCTGCGTGAAATTTTCCATCGTCTGATCAAGTGGTCCTGAACATTTCACAATTTTCAAAAGAACTGTTGAACTGTTGAGAACCACTTGGCCAAAGAGGAAGCCACAGGTTACCGAAGAAAAGAAGTGTAGAGTGAACGCCATAGATCCGGGATCCTCTTTCGAAACCTGCTTTGAAAAAGAAACATTTGAAAGCGAGATGATTCGTTTTTTTAAGGACATCTTTCCATACAGACGAACTGCACATCTCTTTCCAAAAGCGCGGTGCTTTTATAGAGAGCAAACGGATGGGGTCTCACTCAGGGCGGCGTGGAATGATGATCCTGCCGGTTGGACTCGTCAGAGAGGTTCTTGCCAATGCGTGGGTTAGTTCACCCTAAACCTGCCTGCTAGACCGGTTATGAGTGAGTGAGCGAGCACACCTTGCCTTATGAGAATACTCCACTTTTTGCACACTTTTCGAGTTTCCTCAAACGATTGAAATGACCAATTTGCTGATCTGAGTGTCTTCATTTTACCTGTTTACTCACAAATATCCTAAATTATGAGTATTTATGAGTAGTTAGTAGTGGATAGTGATTAGTAGTTAGTAGTAGTAAATCATGCATTTCAGATGAGTTTAGGCTGTTTTCATCCAGGGCTTTCAACCAGTAGTCATTGAAGAGATATAAGATCTATCTACAGACACACACACACACACACACACATACAGATTTTATATATATTACAAATTACAATGCTTGGCATTATATTTTCAGCACTGTTTACACAACTCGATTCATATAAAAATAAAGTTTCCAAAAAGGGGTTTTTGATGCCATAGAAGAGCCATTTTGGTTCCCAAAATAACTAAAAATATAAATAAATGAAATATATACACACTGTATAAATAAGTATGTATATATATATATATATATATATATATATATATATATATATCAGTAATATTGTGAACTACTTTGACTATTTAAAATAACTGCTTTCTATGTGAATATATTTTAAAATTTTATTTATTCCTGTGATTTCAAAGCTGATTTTTTTATCATTATTACTCCAGATTTCAGTGTCACGTGATCCTTCTGAAATCATTCTAATATTCTGATTTGCTGCTCAAACATTTATTATTATTATTATTACCAGTGGTGTGAAGTAACGAATTACAAATACTCACGTTACAGTAATTAAGTAGTTTTTATCAGTAATTGTACTTGATAAAGACATTTATAATGTTACAACAGATTTCTATTTCAGATAAATGCTGTTATTCATCAAAGAAACCTGAAAACATTCTACTCAACATAATAATAATAATAATAAATGTTTTTTGAGCAGCAAATCAGAATTTTAGAATGATTTCTGAAGGATCATGTGACACTGAAAACGAGCAATGATGCTAAAAATCAGCTTTGAAATCACAGGAATGAATTACATTTTAAAATATATTCAAATAGAAAGCAGTTATTTTAAATAGTAAAAATATTTCACAATATTACTGTTTTTGCTGTATTTTTGGATCAAATAAATGCAGGCTTGGTGAGTAGTGGAGAATTCTTTAAAAAACAACAAATCTTACTGTTCAAAAACTTTGACTGGTGTATATCAACATGAGAGAACACATATAGACTACACTATTCATTATAAAATAATACATTTAACACACACATTAATTCCTTACTTTTTGTACAATTTGCTTGACAAATGTGTTTCATCATATTATAAATAAGAGGGAAGAAATTCAATGAAAGCATAAAAATACTCTGCCTATTGATACACATGAATAGGCTTATTCATATAAAGCTGTTGTCACCATATTCATTATAAAAAGATTCACTCTGTACGACAAATGAATGCCATTCTACAGGCTATACTTGTAAAGATGCCATCATGTAGCATGTAAAGTCTAATCAGAGGCTGTTGTCTACACAGCAGACCTGTTCTTTGAGGTCACAGTGAAACTGCTAGCATTCCTCTGCTTTCAGAAGAATAGATGTGATGGAGGGCCATAGCATAGGAGAGAATTTTTAAGAATTGGCACAAAACCATACTTGTTAGACTTGTAAACTGTTTCGCCAATATATAAGTATAAATGAGTCTGAGTCAAATGCAATTTATCATTTACTGATTCACAGTCTGAAATCTGTTCTATGAAGCTAAGTGCAGAACAAGCTTATAAATCAAACAGAATTATCTTTTTTGAAAATCTAAAATAGCAGAAAGTTTTGTGAGAGGGATAGGTTTAGGAGTAGGGTTGGGTAAGGGGATAGAAAATACAGTTTGTACAGTATAAAAACCATTGGATCTATCAAATGTCGCCATGAAATGATGAAACAAGAAAACCCAACGTGTGTGTGTGTGTGTGTGTGTGTGTGTGTGTCTGTACACTTGCATGTGACTGAAGCTCACATTGATGTCCATGTTTTGGCTAAACTTGCTTGTGCGGTAGAGCTA